GATTCACACACTTTACTTACGGTACCTACTGTTCGCTTGACTCAATTATCTCTATCTTCAATCTATCTGCATATCTATCTCTGCCCTTGCGCTGGTTTTTCTCGCCAGGCTTATATACTAAAAAAAAGGGCACCTGGAAAACACTAGGACATTTGCGGAGTTCCTTGATAATTCATGATCCTTCTAGAAACTCTAGGGTGCATGATCCCAGCGTCGCGTGACTTCCGCTGTCGTAACAGTACATATTCTACTGGTTACATGCCTCATGACTAGTATCAGTTGTTTAATCTTCAACTGGTCATATATCACATGCATACAACCATGAAATACGATAATTAGTGTCAGTTGTTTTGTCTTTTCCCATCATTAAATGTGGAATATAAAAAGGTAATTAAGAAAAAATTTATGGTGTTTTTATCTTCAATTTGTATTTGTACATTATAAAAATATTTTGTACAATTTGAAATAATAAATTAACTCAAGTGACTCTTTCTTTTCTTTTAAATGTTTATTAATTTCTAGGATATGATATTTCAAGCATTTAAAATCATTACAGTGAAAACCTAATGCTCTCTCACCCTGCCCCCAAGTGGCACAGTAGACTTACAATGCTCAAAATCGGGTTTCAATACCTGTGCTGGGCAGGGCACAGATAGCCCATTGTGTAGCTTTGTGCTTAATTACAAACAAACAAATTCTCTCACCCTATATTTTATAATATCATATATATAATTATGAAACATTAATCCAGTAAATGAAAATAATTGATGATTAACTATTTCTATTAATTATCTATCAATCCCTGATATTATAAGAATTCATAGATAAAAGAATATTCCTAACATAAAAATATTTCATACTTATAAGTTTTAATAATTTTTTACACAAAGAATTACAAAAATATTTGAGATTGGTTTCAAATATATAAAATGTTCAAATAAACAACATATTTTCATAGAGTTCGAAAACAGCTAATATTTATATGCTATTTTCACAATACCTCTATCATGTCACTTATAACAAAGGTATTATTAAACAAAAATAAAATCTGCTTGAAAAAGGGAATTTCAATAATGTAAATATTAAAAGTTTTGGCTTCAATGGATTGCTCCCATCTATTCCTAGAGTTGAGATGACTTTTCAGCTTTTTATGAAGGCCATCTTCAGCTTTATATATATATATACTCAACTATTCCTTCACTGCCTAACATACCCTTGAAACAGCATTTAGTGAATATGTTTACTGTATGGAAGAACTCTTAGTGGTCAATGTATGTGTGGATACAAGTCATTTTTACCACCTTCACTACATTAACAAGAGTAATATTTTAATGATTTTGTTTCCCCATTAGATTTTTTATTTTACACATGCTAAGTTTCCCTTATATAGGTTATATTCATAAATGTTTGTTTTATTTGTTTGTGTCAGAATTTAAAAATACAGATTCTTCTTTTTCGCCAATTGTCAAAATAAAAGGCTTTTTGTTATATTTCTTAATAGTATAAATATATATGTATATATATATAGTATTTTGTTGTTGGGCTTAGGATTCTTCTACAGTAGGTCTCTGTGATTTGTTAGTGATAAATTGAAAACAAGTTAACATGTGTACAATAAATTATTCAACACTATGGATATTATGGACATATCATAAATACTATATATATAGTTCTCTCCTTCTTGTCAAATATCCACTTAGGCCTGTTCAGTTACTTTAGAATTTCAGTTGACAAGCCAAACTATCTTCTCTATTTCTATCACACTAGTATTCTCTGTAATTCACTTACAATTGTGGTGCAAGTTACCATAATTGTTTGGTCTTCTTTCTTCTAAAAATCTTCTGTTCCTTTTGTCAAACTGCACTCAGGCTGATTCAATTACTTTAGAACCATGCTTTGATGGAATACAATTATTTTTCTTATCTTCTTTTCTACTGTTAGTTTCACTCTAACATATTAAATGTTAGGCCTATGTCAATCACTAAGCCTATCACTTCTATGGAACTTAACTTCATGCCAACTTTATTCTCTTTCACTATTATCTGTCAGATTCTCACTCATCTCACGCTATTTATATCTTTATCACATAATCGTCTGTCCGCCTTCTATATTCTCAACATCAATATATTGCACATAATGTTCGATTTACTCAACATCAATGAATTATTAACAAAACCTCCTACAAACGTCTGCATTTAACTCTTATTATAACAAATAATAAACAATAATAAAATATTCACTCACAAAAACAAATCAATCAGTAACATCTAAACTAAACAGTCTTTTGTATCATGACAGTTTGATTGTTTTAGTGCAAAGTTAAACAATATGCATTGCAAGTCCAGAAACGTATCCCTGGCCCACTGGGGAACATTTTCTTAAACTATCAATTTTCAATGTAATTTCTCATGATATTTTTGGAACATAAAATGAATAATAAAACTATATGCTTATTTTTTACTGTTAAAAATACGTATTTTTACTGACTGGATTAGGAGTTAAGAAACACCAACGAGTTTATATGATATAAATATAAGTATGGGTAGATATGTAAGTTTGAAATAAATTAAAACATACTTCAAATTCCTTGTCTCCCTATATCGTACAGGGACAAATCGTTCTACAACCTGCTGTAGTTGAACATCAGGATCCCTTGTGGAAACACCATTTCCTCGAATATGTTCTCCACCATAATCTCCATAATCTACCTGATTAAACAATACAATAAAGTGATCACTGACATAAAGAGAATATCCTAAATATGAAAACTCTTATTAAACTAAAAATTAGGAATTTAATAAAACCTGGTCACTTAACATGCACTTTCTATGGTCAGAATCATGAAACAAGATAAGTCCATAATTTTCCTATACTGATACTCTTCCTCTGGGAAATTATAGACCTAAATTTCAGAAACACTAAACTAAAAAAAGGACAAACCTTACACCAGCATCAGCAGTTTTCTTTACTAAGCGTTTATTTTTTGGTGAGTTTTAAAATAAAATACATTGTAGTTCTAGTTCTAAAAGTTAAAATTGATATGCTTAGTTGATCATAATTAAATACTGCAAAATATCCACATTTTTTTTACTTTCAATCTCTGTGAAAAATAAACTGCAAATCTTCAAGTTTCAAAAGATTAAAAGACCAATTTAAAAAGCAGTTTTATTACAGGACCTTAAAAGAGACATTATGAATAAAATCAGTAACCTGACTTACCAAGAAGAATGACAGTAACCATGTGTCTTTAAGCAAGCTCCAAATAACAACATGTGCTTCAAAAAAGTATGTATTAATCTTCTATTTACCTAAAGTAATTCAAAATACAGTAACTTCCATTCTGAGGATGAGCCCCTTAATTAAAGAATCATATCTTACATAAAACAAGACTTCTTTCATCTACAACAATGTGCTTTTTTTACAAGAAATGTGCTTCAGATGAACCAAATGAAACTTGTAAACTCCAACAAGTTATTGTATTTTAGAAAACAGTAGCAGCTATAACAAGATCTCAAGCTCAAATAAATCTTAGTATTGATTATGTACAGCATAGTATCATTATGAATAAATTTTTCATAACTAAATTAAATCTGCTAATTTCAAAAGTACATTTTACTGAATATAAATATGTGTACAAGACTTATTCTTGCCAAAAATATTGTTTACAGTGAGAGTACTCAATTGACGAATCAATGCATTCTAATCTATACAAGTAAGAATGTATTAAAAGTATATTTAATTAACTATACCCATAACCAGGTTGATTTTTAGTTTTGATTTAAGTAGGTAGTTTGCTCTGAATGGAAGTTAATATTAATAGTTACTTATATAACTATAGTGCAGTATAACATGTAGCATCTTATAGTCTTTCTCAACCAAAAGGTAGAGAAGTTTCAATACGTATCATACATAAGCATTATCTTTGAATAACTTTATCAATAGTATTTGCCATTAAAGTTTATGAAAAGTGTAAATATAACAGTCTGTGTGTTCACTAAATGGGATGTAAAACATTTCAGTTAACATATATGGCATAAAACAAATAGAAACATGCTTGAAAATGACCAAACTTCATATCCTTCAGGTTTTTAAAACAGAAAAGGAAGTAAAAAAAAGAATAAATGTATAAAGATCAAAGATATTTCAAAATAAAAAACTGTGCAAAGAAAATCTACAAAACTAATTGCAATGTAAAGTGCTTACCAAAGTTAGATCAAAGTTAATTACAAAAAACGTTTTATCTGCATTACTATCCAAATCATTATTGGTCCACCATTTATAAGAAACCAACCATAATCGAGCCAAGAGCACTACTGACTGCATCTCTAGTTCAATGATTGTAGAAAACCACATAAACTGTGAGCATTATTAGTCTTGTCACTAGTTTGCTAGTTGTAGGTAGTCTCTCTTATATGAGCCAATAATACTCCTTATTACTCCAGTTAATAATATAAAAAACCTAATTTACCTGAGCCAAAAGTGCTGCTAATTCCATGATTAATTCACTGTTTGCAGGGAACCTCCCTTGCATTATATCTTCATGTATTTGGAAGGCTGTTAATAACTTTTCTTTCTCATTCTCTCCCTTCAAACACTGACGAAGACAAATTCTGTGAAATAAGAAAACGAATAAAGAAGTGAGATGTCTTCAAAAGTGTGAAAGTTATTATCTGCATATCAATGTGTGTAAAAATGCATATTTATTAAAACCTGAAACATTCAAAAATAAATTTTAAATAGCATTTAATTACTTAGTTCTGTGTTTTGTAGAGTTTCAACCATCAGATTGCATCAGGATATGCCTAGCTAAAATTAGTACAAAATTTTGCAAATAAATGTTGAAGATTTTTAACTTATTTTTACTAAAGCTTAGAATATCATAAAACATTTAATTACATGACAAATCTAAAAAAGCTTCATTCTTTAAAATGTACATAACATCTTCAGAACTTATAATCATAGTTTAAAATTTGTTGAACAAAAATTTCCTTTCCAAAGTAAAAGTTTCTGAAATATAAGCAATTGGTTTCCATTTATTAAAGTCTCAGTCTTCAATTTATTGGTCTACTAGTACCCGTCCCCTGGACAGAAGTTATTTAAATTCATGATTAATGAAAGGTTATCTTAGGACATAAAAAGTTGCTTCCCTTATACGTAATTGTAAAAAATGCAAAAATGCCCATAAAAACTGCAAAACACAAAATGTGACACCCCATATTTGCACGTATCTCCGCATGTATCTAACAAACCTCCATACCATATTTGGTAAAGATCCATCCACAGGTGAGGTAGTGGAAAAAATGCTAAAATGCAAAAACACTCATAAAAAAAAACACAAAATGCAAAACTGAAAATTTGTATGTATCTATCCATGGACCCAATGAACCTCTATACCAATTTTGGTGAAGATCCATCCACACCCTGTGAAACAGTTACATGGACATACAACAAACAGTACTGTTATATTTATATAGATAAGGACAAACAGTCAGCAGGACTTTTCAGCTATGCTAGATGGCTTGAAAGACTTAGAATACATTTATTGTTTATTGTAATTTTGGCAAAAAGTACCAAATTAAAATACTTAACATTTTCATGGGTTAAAAAAATTGTATAAACACAATCCTTATAGAACACTAACAAAAAAGTGTTACATGCATAATTTTTCTCTTATTACAGTATATAAAACCAAATATTTGCTCTAATTATTACACTTACTGAGAAAAATATTATTCATTTAAAGAATAATGAGATGCTCCATTGCTATTTCTTGGTGGAAAACTGCATTATTTTTAGTTAAGAAACTTAAACACCTTTCTAATGCACAACATTCCTTTCTTATTTCCACTTGGTTTGATTGGAAATAATGAAATTTAATGAAGTGTAAATATAAAGTTAAGGGACAAATGACAATAAGAGTAGAATGTAAAAGACTTATTTCAATACATAGCAGTTGTTTATCTAGCCTGGAAAACTTCAGCACTGATAAACTATAAAGCAGTGTAAAGTAAAACTTGTGTATCATGTTCATCTGAAGTCACATTAAACTGAGCTTCTTTAAGTACCATTCATAGTTTAGTTTTCAATATTTAATCAAATTATTTAGCTTACAAATACATAAAGTTATGGTAAGTCCAGTAAAGGCACAGAATCAGAAATACCAAAACAAGTATATAAAGCTTAATTCCTGATATGATAACATTAGAAATTCAGAGCAACCAAAGTAACTCCAGTCTACAATTAATGCAAAAGTGTGAGAAATGTGAATAAAACTAGGTGCTATTAAATACTGTGATTTGATGTACACTTACATAAAGTGTATACACACATAATGTGATGATTAGAGGACCTTTATGAAGTATATTTCTGATATAGAAACCTCTTTCTATAAATTATTTGTATCTTTTAAAACTGCTGATTAGTCTTCAGTTGAAAACTATTGCCAAAACTGTATAAATATTACATACTTGTTTGTACAAAAAAAGGGAAGGAATAATGTACTATAAACTCAAAATATAAACTTTAACAACCTTATATTTATACTAGTGATAATTGGATACACAGTTCTTTATGTTGAACAGGTGATACCAGACTAGACCTCAAACAGTATAGAAAAACTATATATTTAGGTCTAAATATCATTTTGGTCAGTATAATTTTTCATTGATAAACTATCTGACAGAAAATACACTTACACTGCAGATGACTGAATAAAATTTGTGATAACAATCTGCTTCATTTCTAAATATTTCTCAAAACAATTTTCTTAACACATCATTCAATTCTCATCATAAGGAGCCAATCAGTTGATTGGTTTCTAAACAGTAGTTCTTATTTACCTGTTTTTGTATGTTAACCTAACAGCTTTAGTGGTTTCAAATTTTCCAAGATGTTTCTCCCTTAAGGCTTGTTCCCATTTTGTAATGACATCACAAATCTAGAAAACAAAAGATAAAGTTGGGGCATATAATTATAAGTAGAAAATTCAATACTGTGAATATTTTAAAATAACATAGGTTAAAAAGGCAAATACATATATTTTTTCATTTATTAAAAATACAAGCAACACAACTATTAGTTATGAAAGATTGATTTGAAAATACCTAACAGCACAAGTGCTAGATACTGATAGAAACGTCCCATCCTCATGTTTTCCAGTTTCATACATGATGTTTATGCACATTTAACAACTTCCCCAACTTCTTGAAAGAAATTACAGTTCTTATTAATTTTTAATACTTAGCACAAATATATGTGATATGAAAAGTTGTTTGCTATGCCCCCCATATACATTGAATTAACTGACAGTTATGAGATAACCTGGAACATAAAAAAATATTTTTGACATTATAAAAGTAAGAAACAACTTGAGATCAAGAAATATTTATTCTATCAATGTTTTGGCTTTTTATTTCTTCTGAGTAAAGTGTTTTACAACAACACAACTACTATTGTCAAGTCTTGATACCTAGAACAAATGGCTAATTGAAAAAAAATCTTTAAAATCTTAAACAGTTTTATGTTGTAAACACATGGCCATGCATCATTACTGATTAACAAAGTATTCCAACAACAGAATGTTTGAGGTAAATATACTCAGACAAAAATCCTAAAATTTTAAGCAATTTCATTTTATGAAGCAAGAAAAAACACAATACAGTAGTCCTCATATTGAGCAACCATCCTGTGGTTCACATTAATAGTGGTTTTTCAAGAGGGGTTTGTCTTTCCTCAGGAGGAGGTGGAGCTTCAAGACTGGACTACTCCTAGAATGGCATGGCTAGATGAATGAAGAAGTTATGAGTACAGTAATTACTTTTGTATTGCATATAAATTGTTATAATGCCATTTTATTGTACCATACAATGCTGTACCCTATACACTACATACATAAACACAATGCATACTAAAATAAGAGATAAAATAAAATGTTATACATGATAATAATCTGTGAGTTTAGTCTGTTTGATTTGCAGATAGAGTTCTCAATGGCATCCTTGCTCTTGCTGACATATTGCAGCAACTCAGAATTTTGACAAGCAACTGTGAAGTCCCTCAGTTGTTCCAAATATCCCACAGCTGTTCCCACAGACATAGCTAATGTTGTTACACCGTCATCCTCTTCCTCCTTGTCTGAAGAAAGAGTAGAAGTTTGGCCTCTCCCCACTCTCCCACTTCTGGATTTGAATCTTCCTAACTTCGACCTCAATTGCTATTGCACGGAAGGATTTACATTCATCAGTCTTCTTCAGCACTGATAATCTCTCTCTTCCAGGGTCAAAATCTTCTGTGTCCTAGACATGGCAGATGGAAGTACTCAACTGGGACAATCAACAACAAGACTGACAGCAAGTTCTATGCACATATGTGAAATCTTGCCATGCAGATGTTCATGTGCGACAAACAGTCTTTAATTTTATTCATAAAACTAGTCGGTAGTCACTGACAAGGGGTAGTAAATAGTGTAGCTGTATTTCTACTTTGGTATTGTGGTTGGGAATGAAGGGGGGGGGGTCTTTCAAGAGGGGGGACTACTGTAATAATAATAATAATGATAAATAAATACTGTTAAGTTAAATTGGCCAACCCATAAATTTGTTGATTTGTGGTTTTCGTGTTTCTATCAGTACAGCATATATATTTTCTGTCTAAAAAACATTTTGACATCTAGACAAAAGTTTAATAGAAAAAGAGTGAGTGTCATGTTGTGTTACTTTTTCAGTGTGTCTCAAATTAACTTTCCTGAATGATTAAGTCTGTTCAATATATTTTGCAGAGCAAATTCTGCACTCAAGTTCATATGTCACATTTTTAATGGTGTTATTGCCAAGGTAAACAAAACAATTTTTTTTATCATGCATCTGTCTGGTTGGTCCTTTGATGGTGAGCTGTGACTTTATTTTAGATTTTAGATGGTTTATGTGCCAATTGAATTGATATCTGAATTTATATGTGGTTTCTGAATCTGACTGCTGAAATTTTCATTGTATATTAAAGAGACCAACATTCATGGGATGATGCATCACT